GGTAAAACTGACTTCGCCTGATAGAAAATAGCCTTTAATTCTTCCTTGCTGGGACAGATATCACCAACTTTAATTTTTGCGAAGGTTTCCTCTGTTTCAGGATCAACGGCGACAGGGGGAGACGGCTGTGACTGCATCGCCACACATTCATTAATTTTCTCCGGCACTGGAATGCCCTTGTCGTCGCTGGGAACACCACTAATCGCTTCTTGACAACTCTCCTGAAACTCTGGAGAGTCCATCTGGTAGACCGCGTCCACGAGTGCCACTTCACCGAGGTTAGTTTCTTCATTTAAAACGAGCGGTTTGTCAGAGACATTTACAACGCATACTCTACAATTACCGTACTCATTAAGCGTTAGGACACCATCCAATAATACCGCATTTTTATTCGAGTCAGGAATTTTTCCTTCGTAGAGAAAGGGCTGCGTATACAGATACTCATCCTGGAACTCCATGAATTGCTCATCGGACATAGACGTCGTTGCGCGGATAATTCCCTGCGAATGGGGCTGAATTATGACCGGTGAAGCTGGAAATAACTCCATTTTAAAGCAGTCAATAGGACCAGGTTCAGGCTCGAACCGGTAAATGTCCTGCTCAACCGAATTAACCTCGACCTGTGCTTGAGCCTGTTTCAGATGGGCGTCCCTGTACGCCAACTCAATGGCATCCTTCGTGTAGACACAAGCCGGGATCTCTGTGGATTCACGGACGTCCTGCGACCGTTTGGGCAAGTTTTTAGCCGTCGGTTGTTGTAATACCGGCGCCGGCTGCACTGTCTCAGCAGACATTTGACTTGCCGCCTCGCGCTCTGCGTATTCCCGCCGAATTCTACGGCTGTAACTGGACTTTTTACGCCTGGGAGAACTCCTTCCCGAACCCTCCGGTGATGGTTCGTAATTTCCCACGGTGGGTTGCGCTGGATTAACAGCTGCAGACTCACTCAACGCTTTCTGTTTCTGAATTTCATTCCAGATTTCCCACTGTTCGTTGATGTCGACATCTACAGGAGAGTCGTAAGATGCCCTGACTGCCGGAGGAAGCAAATCCGACATTTGGTCACTGATCAACTTATGCTCCTGCGGTGAGTTACCAGTTAATTGGGAGTTTATTTCTCTTTGCTTCTCCGCCTGTTTATCTTCGTAGGAGGTCGGACACGGGCCGATATTGATAGGCTTCATGCCGTCAGCTGGAATAAAGCTACCGTTTTCAAATTCACCTGCTGGCGCCGGGTTATCCACGGAAAAGGTAACCTTACGTTTTCCTATAGCTTTCTGTGCGGCCAACTGTTCATTTCTTTTAATCGTTTCAAAATGCCGACGGTCATTAATCGAGTTTCGACATACGTCACAGTTTTTCTCATACCGTTCGATTTCAATTATACAATCCGGCCAGTAAAATAACTTCACTAAGTACGGATATAATTTTTCATGCCGGCCATACGCCTGTTTATGAATTAGTATTTCGTGAAAGCAGGCTATCAACTTTTGTCGCCATTGGTGCGGCACATAAATTCGTGGGCAAGCGCCGGAGTGATCAGGCACTCTACATAATATTCCTTCGCAAATTATAAACCGATTTATTTCATACTTGGTAAAATTAGTATTAGCATGCGACGGCTTCTTGTACATTTTGTACCACATCCGGCTATCAACACACTGCTGTTGGGTTTCACGCCAAAACTGTGGATCTCTGAAACGTTGTTCCGATGGAAACAACTGTTTATCTTGTGGCCTATCCATCGGCGTCATCCACTTCTTCAACTCTGGATTGCGTGCCATATAAGACGGATAATCGTGGACTTCATCAACGTCTCTGCGGTCACGCTCAACAGGTATGACATTCAACAGCTTATTGTCCATGCTTAAACATTCGACAACCTTCGCTGATTTCTCCAATACGCCCATGTAGAGGTACTTTGCTGCAGGATGCTGTTTCAATACTGCGTCAACTGAAGAAATTTGAATGGGAAGCTGCAAGGGATCGTCACCCCCACGAACTTGACTGGAGCCGGAAGTAGACACGGGACTGACCGATGTCGAAGGCGAGGTACTTGGGCTGCTTGCCGGCGACGGCTGTACAACTTTTTCCTTTTTAATTGGCGGCTGGGAAGACGCCTGTTCTCTCCCCCGCGAACTTGACTGCATACTATTTACAATTGTTTCACCGCCTCCCCCACGAACTTGACTTGGTTCTGGGTTTTTCTCCGTCTTAATCTCTTGCTTAATTGCAGGACGAACGGGTTCATCAACAACGGAAGCTGCTCTCGGGAGATATTGACGAATCATCTCCTGTACTACGCTTCGCACAAACTCCTCATCACGCTGATCAGATCCCCTTTTAATCTGTACAGACTGCGCGGGTGCTGTTTCCTTAACTTCCGTTTTCACTGAGGCATCAACCACTTTTATCGCTGGTGGCGACGGGACTGGACGCGGCCACTCCTGCTTGGCCTTTTGTAGGTGTAAGATACAAATTTCTGGATCAGCTTTTGCTAGAATTAAATGTGCAGACTCATATGGCACAAATTTTGCCTCTTTAGCGACACCGATACGCTCTGTTAACATCAACGCAGGAATTGCGGGTGAGGGCTTAACTCCCGCAGGAATTAACGGGTCAAAATCGTGTGAGCGGATGACATCCGACATCAGGTGAGTTTCGCGACGTAAAAATGCCGGTGCATTAGGCTGTCTACGCGAGAGACGCCACGTCATAGTATTCATATCTAAAATAAAAGGCTTTGTAGCTAAAAAGTCCAAACCTAAAACAACGTGGTCCCTATCAAAAGTGGAACTCACAAGCATAGCGTGCTCAAAGGCCATACCAAATTCGTGGATTGTAACCACTACAGACAACGGCTCGATCAACTGTCTTCCTTGATACGCTGTATGTACAACCCTGCCTTTAATGTGATCAGGACAGCGATGAATATTTAATTTTAAATCCTTCGCCATTTTTAAAGACATAACGGAAATGCTAGAACCGGTATCCAACATAGTCTTCACCTTCTGGTAGTTTATGTCGATTACAGAATACCAAGCCTGGGCATCCAGCGTCGGCAACAAACAAACGTGGTCTGCCAACGGATATTGCGAAAAATCCTGTACTTCCATTTTATTGCACTGTGGCGGCGGCGTGGACAAACCGGCCGGCAAATCCAATTCCATCATGTTAATCTGCTGCTGCGGGTTATTGTAACGAGCCAATAATTCTGCAGATGGCTCATACTGACGGGGAAGTACAAATTGATTCGTACAACCAGCTGCAGGATGAAGGCCATGACAGCGGAAACAAATTTCCACTCCGCGATTGGTTCGCCATTTATCCTTCAGGATATTTCGTTCATCAAACGGAGGCTGACTACCGGCCTGCTGATTTTGCCGGTAATTCTGATTCTGATTTTGTTGGCGGTTATTATTATTGTTATAACCACCACGCCCGCGATAATTATTATTATTGTTCCGGTAGTTTCCGCGATTATTGCCACCGTTATAGTTGTTGTTATTCGCAGGGCCATCCTGTTGGTACTGCGGATCGAAATTTTGCATCGGCTGTTGAAATTGCGGCTGCATAACCGGCATCATCGGATTCATCATTTGAACAGGGACAGGCATGGGGGCCTGCATAGGAATAGGCTGTGGAAAGGTCTGCGCAAATTGTACCGGGTGTTGTTCAACGAATGGTGGCTGAGAATATACCGGCACTGGGACAAATTGCGGCTGGGGAACATTCAGAACAGGTTGGATTGGAGCCACTGAATTCTGTGGCTGCGGAATCACCGTTTCCGTATACGAATGTGAATATCCACCGCGATTGTTGCCATAGTTTCCGCGGCCTCCCCGGTTCGAATAATAACTTCCTCTCTGAGACGAGCCACCGCGGCCGCCTCGATTTTCGTAATTCAAATTATTATTATTATTGTTATTGCCGGCACTTCTGGGTTCAGCAGGAGCATTTCTCTGGGTTGATTCAAGTGTCTTCTTATCTTTATTCATGCGCTTCCACAGTTTTTCGCACTCTTGCAGCTTCTTTTCAAATTCCGCATAATTTTTAGGTGCCGCATTGTAAATTTCGCGGAACCATGCCGGTCGATGTTCCTGTACGCCATCAAGGAGTGCTTCCACCTGCTCTTCGTCAGATGTTTTTAGTTCCTCAAACCATGGGAGGAAACTATCCAGGTAAGCACGAACTGGTTCATAGAATTCTAATTTGCGATTATTCATTTTCCTACGAATGTCGGCTTTAGAAAGAGAGCCGTTAAAGTGCTCAACAATAGCCGGCTTAAAGAATTCAGGCCACGATTTGCCTTTATTATCTTTCCGAAATTTTTCGAACCATTGAAAAGACGGCCCAGTGAATGCACCAATTACTCGACGACATGTTGTTTCGTCGTTCCAGTTATTCGTGGCTCTGCATTGTTCAACATTCATGAGCCATCTTTGAATTTTTTCCGGGTGAGCATCATCAAAGGCAAGTAACTTCATGCCTCCGACCGTTTTATCGCCGTCTTTCTCCGTGAATTTTGCTAAAAGTTCAACAACGCTTTCTTGTGTAAGCGCCGTCCGATCAGAAATTTGTGTTTGTCTAATTAACCATTCCTCCAGTTGGGGATTTCTGGATGTAGACTCATTACTGGCCACACTGTTGGGACGGCGATGCTCGTCATCCAGGGGAACGTCATCCCCAAATTCATTCTCGGTATCAGAGCTGTCTCTAAGTTCCGTTCCGCGCATCGGGCGGCTAGATTCGTCAGCTGTTCTTTTTAGAATTTGCTGCCGTAAATCTGTTGAGCCGTTTTTCTTCTGCTTGGCAGGTGCTGTTTCCCTTGGGATTTGACTTTCTGACGATGAACGCGGGATAGACTGAGCCTCCAAAAATTCGACTCGCGATTCCTGTCTAGGCCTCCGCAAGATGCCAGCCGGATTACTGCCAGTAGCTAAAGGCTGATCAACGTATGACGAGAAATTTTGGGGATTAAATGGTGTGAATGTGGGAGGGCGTAATACGTCTCCTGTTGCTACCGGTGCTTCCCTTTGAAAATATCTCTCACTGCCGCCAAGAGCAGTATTTGGATTTCGAAGCTGGAGAAGTTCGTTACATGCTTCCCTGAAATCCACTTCCATCTTGGTAAGCTGATCGTGTTTTTCATGCCATTCCTTCCGGCATTGCGCATTTTCCGCATATAGCCGGTTGCACGTTTCCGATTTTTCGTAGGCGTCGGCCTGTGCTTTGTTCTTGGCTTGAATCGCGTTTTCACAACTACTGCATCTTTTATCGTTTCTCAAATCATTTAATTCCTTTTGAACTTTCTGAACGTTTTCTCGCTCTGTATTCAACAAACCTTGTAACCTTTCGATTTCCTTTTGGGACAAATCATCCTTTTCTTTAGGGATATGCATCGGGCCGACCGAAGACTTATTGTTGAGCTGGACTCTCGCATGCGTAAGATCCCGTTGAAGAGACTCTTCAGCGTCTTTAGCCCGCTTCTTTTCGTCATCCAAGTCTTTGGTAAGTTTCGTGACCAGGCTCTGCGCATCCGTCAAATTTTTATTAGTTAATTTATGCGCATCTTTCTCAGAATTACAATCTTTCTGAGCTTTCGACAGCTTTTGGTTCAAATCAGATATTTGTTTCGTTAAATCCGGTGCTGGTTGCGCACTGAGGCCATCAATCGTAGCTTTCGCGTTTGAAAGGTCTCTCTGAGCTTCTTCCAACTGTTTTTCCAATTTGCGATTCGTGTCTGTTAAAGTATCGCGCTCATCTTTCATTGCATTAAACGCGGCTTCCGCATTTCTGTTGGCTTGTCTTAAACCATGCAGATTATCATTTGCAATGCGTAATTCGTTAGCCAATCTGTCATTTTCTGTTTGTTCATTTTCGAATTTAACGCGCATTTCATTGAAATCGTTTTGGAATTTCAATTTTTCGTTTCGTTCCGCATCTACACGAGCGTCTAAAGACATTATATTACCCATTTCATCTACTTTTGTTTTTGTAGATGCGATGAGCGTGCGGAGACTTTGGATCAATACGGGCATAGTTTGCCGGACTATCAAGCCCACATCCTGGTCAGTTTCTGCCGCAGCCAACTGCTCATCGACTTCCCTAGCTTGGGTAAGGAAGTCCTCATCTGGTTGTTCAAAATCCTTTTCTGACACAAAGCTATGTAATTTTAATTGTGCCGGGTGGAACGTCATTGTTCCACCGCGAATGCTTTTACTTGCTCTTGTTTCAGATCCTTCGGAGATATCCGCTTTGTCCGCAGCCGACAATGCTATCAAGTTGTTGTCCGACTGGGACGACTGGGGTTCTGTCTGGCTCTCAGCCACGCTTGGAGTCTCCGATATGGGTTCGTCCATTATCGCAGCAGACGCCTGGGCTGGAATTCTCTCCTTGGCGCCGCGCGTGACACGCTCATTTGCTGCCTGTTTTTTGGGAGTTTTTCCCGTAGCTTTAGACGCTGTAAGTGCAGCTTGGGCTGCCTCTCTTCGTCTATTCAAATCTTCCGTATATTCTGGCAGCCACCTGTTTGCATCCTGCAAAGCCGCTATAAACTGCTCATCAGTGATGTCCAGGTAAGCTTCAGGGATACATCCCTCGTACTCAATCCAAGGTTTAAAATGTGCTGGTAATCTCGTTTTGGAATTTAAGTACCGTCTGATTTCCTGGTAGTCAATCCAAGACTTCCCACAGAATGCATCTTGTGCTTCTGGTGGTTCAACGTTAAGAGCAAGGTACATCAAATTCAACGGAATTTCTTTTGCGTTGAATTTGAACCTTGTCTGAGCTCTCGATCCATCGTACGCCCCAATAATCACTTTATTATCTGGGATTTTACGCGGTGGTGGGCGATTTCTAGGAATCGAACCGCCCGACATTTCTGCTTTTATTTTAAATAACCTTTGCGGCTATTCAAAATAATACTTACAGTAGCGATTGTGCTACTGCTTCCGAAATTGCAATTGTGCAATTACTACTACGTCACTTCCCAATTCTCCTTTTAGGTTTGAATTGTTCAGTGATAGATTACTGACAGTCGACCTTTGCGGTTTCGACTGTAACAACTTCCTAAAATTACACTGCTACACTTTGCGTGCTGCAGTTATTCAACATTCACAGGTCAATCACCGTTTGCCGGTGTTTACCTTTTTTCACGGTCAACTCTCTCTAGCTGCTGATTCTGGCTACCGCTTGCGGCTTGCCTTTATCTAGCTGCTGGAGATCGTTATCTCACCTAGCCACTGACAATGGCTCGGTAGTCACTATCTGATCTATCTGCAGGCCAGGTACACTGACACTGCAGTTTACGTTTTATTCACCGCGGCTACTGCTTTGCGCAGACAACCCGGAAATTACCCACACAGACACCGATTAATTACACAGCCGACCTTTAAGGTTTCGACGGTCCAACTTAATTAAATTTAATTTAATTGGCGAGGAAGCTCACCAGTGAGGAAGCTCACAATTGCGAGGAAGCTCGCTAAAAATAAATTAACTAGGCCAGATCAGGAACGCTGACCTCCTTCGGCGTACCTTTGCGGTTCGACGCCTTTCAAAAACGGACCACTTTTACCAATAAATTACCATCAAACTTTCCACCAATAATTTTCGTTACATCGGGAAAATTAAAAGACACCGGTGGGCGCCATGTCGTGTATAAGCGTTCACGCCGGTTAAGGCTCCATGAACAATCTTTACTCTTCCACGCCTGTAAATGTCAGTCGGTAGGCACTCGTACTCTCAAACTATAACTGAAGAACTATGGTGGAAATAAAACGAGCGAATCAGGAACACAGGAACTCAGGAATCCCTCAGGAACACGCTAACCACAACTTCCGGTCGTAAGTCCTGTGAGGATCGGCAAGAGCTAGGACGATTGTGTCACGAGCAAACCTGTATACTAAGCGATAATCCGGGAGCAACTATGCACTTCAGTAGGAACAAGTATTGCTGTCTCTTTATCCAATTCACATCACAGTTCACAACGCTAGGAAATCGTAATTAGAAACAGTCTCAGAAGTAAATCTCAGACTACTCATTCCCGATATTAGTGGCGACATGAACTTATATAGACTTCGCGTTATGACATCATATACATCGCTAGTAAAAGAGAACAGCAAATCACAGTAGAGATTGACTAGATTATCCGTTATGTTGCAGGTGGAAGGCGGACAGTCAGCATCCGTACGTACATCCGGCGTATGATCCTACTCCCATACGTCATTGGTATATGACATTCTGTAGCGAGATGATTTGTTTACATTGACGCGAAAATCGTTTGTGCGCGCAACATCCGGTTCGGGAGTCAAATTTTACGAAATGGCTTAGTTGAGACGCATTACCGTCACTTAAATATTAATATAGGTTAATTAAACATCATAATTTCTGACGATGTACTGAAACCGCCGCATTATTATTTTTAACAAAACGGAAGCTGTGTGATCAGTGGTGCACCATCACCGAAACACCAAAACTGGGCGGACTAATAGTCGGGATAAAAATATTTACATCTCTAATAAAATAAGGTTAATCCAACAAACACGTACCAACACCTTCTGTTGGTACGTGTTAACCCATACCCATGTAGTTCTGTGGCTTCCGGAAACTCACTGGTATCAAGTTGCAGGACGTAACGCTTAACAATCCCCTGCAACAGCCGGAAGCATGACCACAGTTTCTCGATACGTGCCATGACGATCGCGTCGCCGCCGTCGTCCCGATTGACCAACGCTTGCATCAGCACATCCACGTAGTACTGGTGTAAAGCTCTTATCCCGGAACGATGCCGTAACTACAACGGAAATTTTGTTTTAAAATTCCGTTTGAATTTTTGAGAAAACAGTTTTATAATGAGGCTTTTAGTACACCTGTTTGCCTTTTAGAATTTATTTCACCGATAACTTCCCAACCGCCTGGTGCCATGCGCGAAGCTGCTCGCCCAAAACAGAGTGAGTCCACTATACCGCGGCCAGATGCATACCGACGTTGCAAAAGTACCCCAAGACGCACCACCTGTTGCATTCCGGCAGCGGCGCGTTGGAGACGCCAAGATCTGAAGGGCGACGGGGTTATTATTGTTCATCGCACCGTTCCTTAATGCACAAACGCAGCTTTTTGTAGAGGTTTAAAGTGTGCAGTTGTAGATAACACGTTGGAATTTCAACGTGTGACTGCTTGTCTTTCGACAACGATGGTTTCCTTGCTGAAGCAGAACACGAAATGGGATTACATACCGCATCCGGATTGCGCGCGGGTGGATTCAGACAAGAGTGTCAATATGTTATACTGCGTTATATACACTGTAATTATTGCTTTTGAACGCTTAATACCCTGCTCAAGCGTGTCACACTTGTGCAGCTACAGTAGGGATCGATAAATATACTGAAGAACAGAACAGGATGCAGTATGCCGTGTACGGGACCGGCATCTGATCCCTGATACACTGCGTGGTTAGTCATGCCGCGTCTGTGGATACATGCTACGCCGGCTACGGTATATGACTTTTTACCTTCGCGCAATAAAGCGCTGCTGCAGGCTTGTAGCACGCCGCGCGTTGGTCGGGAAGAGTCTTCGTAAAATCTAACTTATTTCAGTCCAAGCGTTGCTGTTCAAAGTGAGCAATATGTTGCATTATATTCACCTAAATTATCAAAAGCTTGGCGCAAAATTGGTGCTAAACACTGGTTTAATACTGTCTGCTTATTACGCCACGAAAAGCACCAGGTAATACATAATACGGTATGTTTGAATACGAGTCGTATTACTCGAACCCTGTATGGTGTTATGGCGCCGTGGACGTACAAGATGAGGATGGAACATTCCGCCATGGTTTCATCGTTGATATGGACCTCTTCGAAGGCTTTATCGTTGATTTCGGATATCCCAACCATCATGCTGAGCTTGTCCGTTTCCATCGATGCCTTGGGCAAATTTATGAGTTTTCCTTCGCCCTTGGCGATACTGTGCAGATTTTGTGGCGGGAGTCTGACAGCGAGGCATGTCGGTGGTATCCGGCCAAAGTAATCGCGGGATCGTGTTACACGTTTGCTTATGTTGAGACCGAACGGCACGGAAAACTAGTGAGGGAAGTGGTGAGAAAGAATTGCATCATGCCTTTAGGAGAACGACAGCCCGTGGAGCGGCGGAATTATGAGCGGCACAGTTTATCGCTGGGTTGGATAGCTTCGGATCTTCTGAAATCCCGGAATCAAGACGATTTTCAATGGTGGAATCGTGAGTGGGGGCGCAGACGCGACAGCATACTCGTCAAAGCTGAAAGAAGGAAACTAATTTATATTGCTCAATGTCCACACGTTCGGAGACCGGTACATATTACGGCTTCGACATTCTTTGCAGTTTGGACATTTTCACAATATAAATTCGTATGCCGGGCACGAGAGCTACACCACCTTACAGGAGTTTAATTAGAGTTATATAGAGTTTAACCGTTTAACCAGAGTTTGACCAGAGCTAGTGTTACAATACAAGCATAAGCTTGTATAACTCTGGAAAACTATGGGAACCAACTTCTAAGTTTTATAAAAAAATTTCAAATTTTTAGTGCGAAACAACGCAGAGAATCCCCTGTCTGTGGTGCCCGCCCCGCGAGTCCGATTGTGAAAGGGTGCAGATGCGATAAACGTCGAAGCATGTCGACAAATGCGTACTAGTATCTGTACAAGTATACATATAATATTAAAACGTACACGGAACTGAATGTAAAAGCGTATTATAATAGAAAAAGGCGTATTACTGGCACTACCATTTTGCCAGCTTTTTAATTTGACCTGTATGCCTAAAAAAAACAAGGAACGCACGAAAATCTCAGCACAATCTGGTAAAAAATTTCAAAGATCTAGTCACCGGGCGTGTATCTACAGTAAATAGTGGGGATCAAAAGTAGATCACTGCATGTTTTTTTCCCACATATCTCGCGTCTGAGTTCAGAAAATCTTCCCTTACTTGCAAAAAGGTCAAGTGTCTACCCAGTATATCTCTAATGTTGCTTATCAAAATGTTTTCATAGACTGAAATATTCCGGATAATGGCAAAAAAGATACCGCTTTCAAAGTTGCCGGATTGGAGAAGAGCTGGAAAAAACGAACGGGAAATGCGCTTTCTTTCCAAATCCTGCCTGGTAAGGTTAACGTTAATTGTGTTGCGGTGTAAGCCCTTTCGCTCACTTGTTCACGTAAAAACTGATAGTCATGTCATATCATTTTGTTTCCGTCTGTTTCTCAAGTTTCACTTAAGTTGCGCCTATGTTTCACTAAACTGGCACGCGCCAGCTCTTCCCGTCCGAGATTAAATGTGCGCACTACAATACCAGTTATTATTGATACTCTTTCATTTCAGAATTAAAATAATATACTGATTGAAACGTGGTTGTTTTCATTGCAATTACCACCAGTGTATACAGTGCAGGCAAAGCGTACTGCAATGGTCAGGGGAATCTCTCATTTTAATTTCCAAAACCGGATAATACATTTTCGCATTTTACGCTAAAGAGCACTACTAATAACTGGGTGGAAGGTTGAAATAAGGTGCTGGCGATAAAAATTGTATCAACAAAATCGCGCAATATGTTTAATGACGATTGAAAAATTTATAAAATTCAACAAAGATCTTCCCGTAGCCTTACGAATGTCCTTCATCTACTTTTGTTCGGTAATAATAATAATTAATCTAATAAACTGATTATTTTCTTAGGCTTTCAAATTATTCAAAATACGACACCGCTACCAAACGTCTATAAACTCGTGGCTACCCGTTGAAATCTTTCGTCGAATATTTTCCTTTTTGGAATTCCGGGACCAGTTTTTTTGTCGGAAAGTGTGTAAATCTTGGCACAGCATTCTAACAACGTGTTCGCGATTGGAATTCGACCTGCGAACATATGACAACGACGAGCTGGCTCTAGTTTTCGATAAGAATATCACTCAGTTCACTAGAAAAATTATATTATCGAGTGCTGCAGTACCCGATAGTTGCAAGCCATATAGCTGCCATCCTTCGCGGATCCTCAATCCCATCGGTATTCTGGTTGATTTACTACAAGCTAAAAGCGTTAAAATGCAGACCATAACTATTTCGAATTGGCTTGTTTGGGCACCGGACGTCCTAAGCTGGTCTCGCTCGTTAACTCTGCAGTTTCGTTCGGACTGGACAGACATATGTGACAAACTTATCCTGGACAATGTATACATGAACGGGATCATGTATGTGGATGCCGAATCGTGCAGGTGTAAGTGGAATGCCTTCGTTAGAGGTTATGATCACAGGGTTCGATATCTGGATTTCCCTATCTTGGCTGACTCTAACCCATATCGCCTAACGCACCATCCACACATTGGACGCTTACAAAAGTACGTCATCGTCACGAATCAAACCGAACAAATGCAGAGTGCAAGGAAAATACTGGAAGATAATTGCCTTCCGATGAGCGAGGAAGTTCTCAGCCTGCTAAAAAGCCGAATAGACAAGCAATCTGTACCGAAGACAGTGTTGCTACAGGTAACAAAGCTATCGCAGTTTCAGCAAAATGCGTATAGCTAACAGTATCCCTATTTGTATTTGTAGCGTAAGTTCAGTACAATGTCCACTACATCTTCCATTCTGTCATACTGCTTCCCAAAATTTCTGCGTCCTGCTGTATTCATTCTGTAGTTTTGCATTCTACTTCATCATGCATGTACTGTATTTGACCAGCTTGAGGTTATTCCGATGTCTTATAACCTGAAATATGTTGTGCGAATTTTTTGCAGTTGTTAAAACAATGGCAAGCAGGAGACCCACGTTTTACCGACAGCATGGATGATCCGTTGGCTTATGTGCCGCTCCATACCTTGCGAAAGTTAACTCTGTTCACACTGCGATGGTACCTGGACAGTGAAAGTTCTGAAAGAACTATTTTTCATCAGCAGTGAGGAAGGGCAAGAATCTGGATACATATGTATATCATAATTATATTGTACGAAGCGGCATATACCGTATACCAGAGATTGTTTAATTATTTAAGGCGGAGGTTTGCGTACAGTATTTTCGTTTTTGTGATATTCAATCGCTGGCTAATAGCACCGAACAGTTTTTAACGACTGGAAATACTTGGGTTTTGAAATACCGAATGTGCTTTTAGCCTTTTGATCCAGTGTTCTCAGCAAAGACGCAGGGGTAAATGTCCGCGTAACCTGCGCGGGTTATAATTCATATGGGAAAATTTGTATATGGTACTTTTATGAAGTACGTACTGTATTTATATAAAGGGTACCCTTATAGGCACCCCCTAAAACCCCCGTATATTATAGGCTCCCAATCCGTTATTTTAGTTTTCTCTATAGTGCACGCATTCGTAAAACATTTTGTTATTTTGCTTAAGGGATTTGGCCCGGTACGTTGCACTAAATTCGTGTACATTGACGGGATTATTCGCTTTCGCGCACTTCCAAACACCTTTTTGAATTGCTTTTTGACATTAGTAGCCAAATGGTTTGTGTACAGAGGCGTGAAATCCGTTTTCGCGCGCAACATCCGGTTCGGGAGTTATGGCTATTAAAAAATTCCTAAAAGTTTAAATGCATTCAGGTGAGCCAAAAGACTCATTATGGACCGATCTCATGGACCCAAAAGTCTCATGCTAGAACAGTGGATCGTTGTAAGAACGATCTTTGTGATAATCTGCGTTTACGTGCAAAATTTGAAAGGGATCGGTCCATAATGAGACTTTTGGTACATCTGAATGCATTTAGACTTTTTGGGATTTTCTAACAGCCATAACGGCCGAACCGGATGTTGCGCGCGAAAACAGACTTCACGCCTTTGTATACCAATCATTTGGCTACAAAATACTATGAAGCAAGGGAAAAAAGTGTTTAGGAGTGCGCGACAGCGAAAGTTCCCGTGGATGTACACGAATTTAATGCTATGTACCGGGCCAAATCCCTTAAGCGAAGGCTACCAGGGCTTGAACATCTCGGGTGGTCATGTGGTAATATGTACGATATTAATAAAAAATGGGTGCCTATAATAAGCAGGGTGCGAAAAGGGGTGCCTATAATAAACGGGTGTTTTAGGGGTTGCCTACAACGGTTTCCTTATATAAACGCTGGTTTTTCGTAGCAAAATGTAGTGTAACACTGAATATGGTACTAATTATGACACAAACATTACCCTCTATAATGTTAACCTCATAATTATATCGTTTCCAACATCATAAGAAGCCGGTCTTTTAACCGGCATCTACAGTAAAATAACCATACAGCCGTCTACTTAGTTTTATATTTTCATTTCATAATAGTAATTAAATAGTAAATGTCATTATATTTGTCGGCGCACTGAAGCAGAAGTATTAACAATCGTGGAAAACCGGAAACTGCTGCTGCTGCTTAGAAAATTGCAACCCATATTCAATAATATACAGATCCATAGTAATATATATACATATAGTAATATATATCGATAGTAATATATACATATACTGATATACATATAGTATACATATAGTAATATACATATAGTAATATATACATATACATATAGTAATATATGTGTCCATTGTAATATATACGAGTACATCCATATAGTAATATATCTATCTATATATATCCACGTATCACACTGTGACTGCATATTCAGTTGCGCACCATCGCCGGAACTTTAACACATCGACGGAATATTGGTCTTATAAAAATGTTGCAAATCTGTATTAAAATACGTTACTCCAATAAAAATATGTCAATACTTACCGTACCTGCTACTTCCGGTCACGATAAAATCCTAGATAAGAGGAGCGTACGTTTGCTATCGGCAACTATGAGTAATGATTTATATCAACAGGAACTGTGACGAGAGGCGGTCTTCAATCTTTTAGAGACCGGTACACTATTACTATCAGTTAAGGGAGTTGTGTTGGCACTTAGCACCAAATTTGCATACATGTGCGGAATTTTGCGCACCTTCAGAAACATTGTCTTATAACACTGTACCCACATGAATTGTGTATAATGCAAGTAGGAACAGGTTTGTGTGCGCGTAGCATCCAGTTGGAGAGTTACGGTGATAAAAACTTCAGAAGTTTTAAATGCAAACAGATTTACCAAAAATTATATTTTTCAATAGTTTCATAAAATTTACATGATCATTTTACAGAACCTGATTTAGAAAATGTACTATAGTTTACAGCCGCTTTGATTTTTTTTCGCAGATTAAAATATTTCGGATGATGGCTAAACGGAAAACGACCTACGAAATATGGACTGCGAGAAGAGTTGAAAAAACGATACGAGGAACACCTTCCTTTGAAATCCTGCTTGGTAAGTGCAGCTAACAATCTGCGTTAAGCTAAGGTAGAAACAGCTATGCTCAACAAATAGGTGACCTTTTGTTGCATTTTGTTCGAGCCTCTTCTCAACCAGTTTGCACCGTTTTCTACCGTTCGCACTTCCGTACAGGTTCGTATAACTATTCCTTAAATAAATCAAGCTTATTGGTTGTATCGTGGTTGCCTTCGTTGTGCAATGTGCATCTTGTATCGCGAGGCAAAGTGTTTCCAACTAACATTGCGCGCGCAAGCAACGCTATATCTACATATACCGGATCGCGTTATAATTTCTGTCACGATTAATCTGATAAACTGATTGTCTTATTAGGCTTCTAAATTATTTAAAACACGGCACCGCTATCAACCGTGTATAAACACCTGCCTACCAGTCGAAATCTTTCGTCAAATATTTTCCTTTTTGGAATTTCGGGAACAACTGAACTGCCGCACCGTGTGCAAATCCTAGAACATCACTGTAACAATGTGTTCGAGGGTTGGGATTCTGCCTGCAGACATATGGGAATGACGAGCTGGCTCTAGCCTTAAATAAAAATATCAACCAGTTTACTAAAAAAGTTTTCTTATCGGGTGATCCGTTATCTGGTACTTAATATCAGCCATTTTTCCCGCTCCATAAACCCCATCGGTATGCTGACCAGTTTACTGAAAGCAAAACAGGTAAAACTGCAGACCACGGCTATTTGCAACTGGTACGTTTGGGCCCCGGATATCTTCACCTGGTCCATTTTGTTGATTCTGCAATTTCGGTCGGACTGGAAATATCTATGTGAAAAACTAATCCTGGACAATGTAAACATAAACGGACTGATTTATGTGGATGCCGAATCGCGCAGCTGTAACCGTGAAGCTTTCGCTGGGCCTTATGACTACAAGTTTCGAAATCGGGATTTGAACACCTTGGCTAGCGCTCACCCATATGATGACCATATCACCTAATGCACCATTCACCCGTTGGGCGCTTAGGCAAATACGTGATCGTCACAAATCGAAACGAACACATGCAGAGTGCAAGGAAATTGCTGGAAGATAATTGCCCCTTTTTGAGCGAGGAATCTCTCCGAATGCTGCGAAGTCGACTAACGAGTAAGCTGTACCGAATAAAGTTTTCCTCCAGGTAACCAGCTTTTGCAACTTCCGCAAACTGCATATACTACGTACCTGCATATTGTATCACAGCATCACTACATGTAACTGCAGCGAAGTACAGGGCGATGTGCACTGTATAACCATGTCTGTAAAATTCCTTGACATTCTGCGACCTGCTGTATTTCTTGCTTCATACTTGTTTCATCATGCACTCCTCTTTTATTCGACAACAGCCAGTACATATAATAATGCGCCTGCGCGGGTTTACACTAATAAAAATTTCAAATTTTAAACATTAAAAAACAGCCAAAATTATCAGAGTCTTTCATTAGTTTAGAACGTGCGTTAAATGTACCCAGAACAGCAGCTGCATTTCCTCTTACTACCGCTAGACTTAAACGTTGTCTCAAAAAGGCTGTAGATCGAGGCTCCCCGGTAATATCGCGGATCTTGCGGCCGACAAAGCGGATTAGCTCGGCGAAAGGCAATCCAAAAGTCCCAGACGTCTCGAGCTCTCGACGGCCAGAGGATAGAAAATATATACCAAATCTTCGACGAAGGCGTATTTCCGCCGCTTGAAGTCTTCTGCCATCTGCGCCACATGCACTTAACGTATTTGACCAGCTTGAACACGCATTAAAGTTCAATAAGCATCCGGTGCCTTATTACGCGATGCATCTTTGTGAATACTGGCAGTTGCTGAGGCAATGGCAAGCCGAAGACCCACGTTTTACTGACAACATGGACAATCCGTTGGCTTATGTACCGCTCCAGTCATTGCGAAATTTAACTTTGTTCGCATTGCGATGGTATCTGGACAGCAAAAGTTCTGAAAATGATCTGCTTCAGCAGCAGTGAAGAAAGGCACAGAAAACTGGGTATATCGAACGAAGCGGCCTAAAAAAAGACAGTCAAAATCAAGCTTTGCCGGAAATTTACATAAAAGAGATTGACAGTTGCCTGGACAAGGAATCCCTGTACTTGCTGTCGTCATTCGGTTGGAGTATGACCTTGCGGCAGTGCATATGGATAAATCAGGCGCGGTACCTAAGCAGCATGTTACGCCGCATTGTAAACACCAACCGGCTGTCGGCAGCATGTAAAGGGAGTGCTTGCCTAAGCAACCCCCAGCCCCTTATATTTTCGTTTATGTGACATTATACCACAGGCTTACAGCACAGAACACTTTTCGGCGACTGCTCGCTTGGCTTGCTTCTAAAAGCCAGACTGAGCTTTTAGTTTTTGATAACATAAGAAAATTGAAGCTGTTATCTAAAAATGCCAATGTAATACATCTTCTGACATACTTCGAAAAATTTATAATTCCGCCTACCCATGCAGGTCGACGCTTTCCACTCCCGGCTATGTATTTGAAAATGCAGAATGAACAACCGCCCTTGTTGGCGACTGCAAGTTTATTAGCTATCTTATTCGATCGAGATGCTTTTCGAATTTTTCTATTGGTTGGCGAAGTCAATTCGTACACGATGCTGCACCGAGCAACAGAAAATTCCAGAAGCACTGTAGTAACTGGATCCGGTGCATCTATTTAAACTTGCAGTCGCCAAGAGGGCGGTTGTTCTGACTGCATTTTTAAATGAGCCGGGAGTCGGAATGCAGTATCGAACTGCAAAGGTAGTCGGAATTATAAATTTTTTCGACATACTCGTACAAAAAATATCTCAACGTCATGTCATTTTTAACGCTGCAAATGCCTTATTTTAGTAGCCGGTGTCTGCAACGACGATAACGATACAATTATCCATTAGTTTTGAATTTTATTTCAATTTGATATAGATTACAGGTTAGCAAACAAACATCAGAGCATCAGTGGCACACCAGCATTAACAAGCTCAAAAAAATATCAGCTGCATAATCAGTTGAGTACCACCACCGGAAACCACCACTGGACGGACTTGCCTCGGAAAAGCTCATCGTCAGCTCATCATCCTCTTGGGTTGCTGGCACTCCTATGGATTTCTGTGAACATCGATGCCTTCCGTGCACTGATTAAAATTTTCGGCTGGCATCCATTCATTTCATTGGCAATTTCAATTGTCTGCGTGTATGTGCGTGATGTTCCCTTTATTATACAAATGGTCTTCAACGATGCATGTCTGCCTGATTTATAACAAATCCGGGTATTTCTACTGAAGAATGCAGGTAGCCAGGTACGTATGTAATAATGCACCAGTACTCGTAACTTCTAAAACCGTGTATGTGTTAACTGCGTAAACAGTACATATAGGTTAGTATAATCTGACATTGTGCAGTAATGGCCGTAGTGGAATGATTGACCGTTATGTCGCCGTATAAATCGGTATTAAAGTGAAATCATCTGACATTACCATCCGGTGAAGAGCTGATCACGAATGCAGTATGTAGGAATGGTAATTCAGAAGATGCAGATGATCCAGACAATGCCATCATTTATGATTATCCGAGTTGTATCTTTACTGCGCACTCGGCTTCAAATGTATGATCAGGCAGCATTAGCATTGATTCGTATCCAAGTAAATGTCGATGTACTTTATTTCGATAATTACGAGTTAAAAGAATCAGTTACTACCTTACTACGGTAGAGCCAATAAACTGCATCCCGATAACAACTTGTTTTTGCAGGTGTTAAGCGAATGTGCGCCAAAAGTGCCAGCATGCAAACTACCTTTGAAGAGAAATCTGCCATGTATCGATCCCATTGTAGGCATTGTTTATAAAAAAACCTGCATCTCTATATTATCTGAACCATCGGAGTGGCATGTCTCCGCTTATCCTTATCCGGTTTAATAGCTGTTCCCTCTCTGTGTGGCAGCGTATGGCGATACTAGCGATTAGCATCCTGTGGTTTGCCATTATGCCATCTGGTCGCTTAAAATATCGCGATGCGTTTCAACAAAAAGTGAATTATTAACATTACGAGGAATTGTTCATAGAATTATTCTGTTCTATTACTAGCAGCTGCAACCGTTCGAGTATTAAACGGGGAAGTGATGAGTGCCAGTGCGAACGAAGATTTCCCAAGTCAAAATGTCGTACTCGTACTTGCGAAGTACACAGAAAAGTTCTGGATTGGTTCGAATGTGGTGTCAGTTTTCTGAGAAAACCGTAATCGTACTTAATTTTCCTCAAAGCTCTAAACCAGTTCTAAGTTCCAACCGGAAGTTGCTGCTTCTGCCGAATTTTTATTTTTGTTGTTTACTACTGTGATAGTGTCTGATGAGATGCGTTCTTTTTGGAAACTTACGAAACTTTCCGTTTGAAAAACTTTCCGTTTGAAAAAATAGCAGATTCAGCGTGTTTCAGTATTTTAATTCTGAACATACAAAACCGAACGGCTTTCAACTAGTCAGCACAGAATTATTCGAGCTACAAAAATAATTTTAGCAAAAGTTGAACAGAGAGTAATATTTCCGATTATTTCGTCGGTCAGAAACAAGTTTATTTAAGCAGGAAAAAAGTAATATTTCGTTTAAAGCCTAAATCGTTTGCATGTTGAAACAAGTGCCGTAGTTATCCACTTTTTTCCGCATTACTTCCTCTCCAAGCTGAGCACAATCCAATTGCGTCCATGCGGGCGTTCCACGACAAAGCGCTGCTTATTCTTTGAAACGGGGAACGGGAAGTGCGGTATTTCCTGACGAAGTGGAACATAGGGATCACGCCCTTCTCCAGCTGCGATATGAAATGCCAATGGACAGCGTCGACGCGGACAGACGACAGCATGGGAAACTGACAAGCTGATAGGCCCAGACAAAGGAGCAAAACATTTTTCACACTGGATGTAAGTAGCGTTCTACAACACAAGTATTACGTGCATTAGTTACGGATCGGGTAACATCTGGCGCTAACTACCGTACCGGATGCTTCTGGAGCATATGATTGCCAATTTCGTTGTAAATCGGCTTGTCTCGGCAGAAAGTACACTCCAACCAGTATTTGTAGTTTCCGGTTCGCCGTTCGTCTGCACTGAAAAAGCAATGGATCCGTTATTTGTTCTTTTTGTCGTTATAAACGTAAGATTCAGATAAAAATAAATTCGGATAAGAATAAAAAGGTTTGAACTCGTTATAGATGATAGCACTAGATCGCTTCAAATAGAAGAACATTTTTTACATAATAATTTAACTCCGGCTATTTACAGACTAATCGTTGTTCTATAAAGTTTAGCGTTACGATGTTTTTATTCAGCAATCGCGGCTTCAGATGCACGTGCAAATGGCTGCGCAGAACCCCGCTGAAGAATATCAAATACACTAATCCACATTGATCGGTATTCGAATTCCTGTAGCTCGTATTTAGTGCTCTGCGAACGGCTGCTGTATTTTGTCTAATTATTGCTAAATTTACGCTTTGTCTTGTAAACGCCACCGACCAAGGCTCCACGGTAGTTTCACGGATCTCCCGGCCGATGAAACGAATTATTTCCTCAAAGACTGTAGCAGTGTTGGTGACATCGCTGTTAGTGCATAAAAACTATTCGTATTTGGCAGACGATAGCGTACTTCGCTGACAACTGCTTATACCAATTGTCGCTTTTCTATTGCGAACATAAACCCAAAAATGCTAACCGTTGCGACACCCTAACCGTTCTGACACTGTTGCCGCAATCTGGGCTTCGGGGCTAGTTATAAGACTAATCAAACTCCACAAAAGCATAGAGCTTGTGTAAGGCGACCGTAAGTGCTTACTCAAAACTTTTAGTTCCTCTTGTTAGTTAAAACAAAACAAGGGATGCCGATTCTGTCTGGATAGTTTGGCACTGATAAGTGGCCGTCACCGACTGATTTAAATAACAGACTTCGTAAAAGATCAACGCTTAATGTAAACAGAAAAAAAATTACCGATAGAAGTATTACTGATATACAGTACAAGAAGCAATCTGCGTTCTAGTTGCATACGTAGGCCTAGTAATTTTATGGTCTGAAGAGAGCTATTTAATCGTTTATAGGTGAACAACACCACGACCTTTCGCAATCAATGAAAACAGTCCGTTACAACAGCGGCAGTTTCTTGTTTTAAGGGTTCGAAGGTAAAATTCAAAAGGACAACCTGACAGTAGCTAAACAGTTAATAATATTGGCTTTACTTAGATGTTTTGTTTCCAGCGCAACAGTTACCAAGCGAAAACGACATCAATTTACATTGTGTGTCATAGAAATGCACTTACTGCAGTAGCAAGTGAAAACCTTCGGTGCGCATAGCACTCTTTACAGTGCAAGGAATGCTTTCGCACGGGCCCCAGTCTCCTTTTTTCCCAATTAGTGCAGGCAGTCCGCAGCATTGGAACACAGTGTCGACCAGCTGCGCAAACAAAATTAAATTTAAAAAGCGCCTAGATCCGTAAGGGAAGTGACCGATGCATTTCACCAATTTGGTGCACATTTATACAAACGTAATCTTTATTATCAACCTTTCTTACTCAAATTTAGCGTGAAAGCCTCATAAAAATCAGTAGCGCTCTACGATTACAATTTTTACACCGAACCAGGTTCGCACCATTTTTTTATCGTTTGGAAGTGAACCGGGTACTCACAATTTTTTGCAGTCCTGAAACAATAAAATTTTTTTCGGAAACATCGTGGAAACCTGGTTCGGTGTGACAACGGTCTGCACGTTCGTATTTTTTTTGGTGACTTTTTTGCTTAATTTGATGAAAATCGATCGCTCTACAATAAAGCTTCTGGTACGCCAAAATGCACTAAAAGTATTTTTTATTTTTTACAGCAATAACTCCCCAAACGGACGTTACACCCTCGAACGGTTCTCACGCCCATGTATATCAATAATCTGACTACAAAATGTGATGGAGCAATGCAACAAGTGACTAGGAGAGTGCGAAAGTAAAAGTTTTCGTGAGTGTTCACGAATTTGGTGTCGTGCACCGGGTCACTTCGATAAACTGAGAGACTGCGACACAGGGTGATTGGTATTAAAAGTTATATCTTCTACTCAGTAGTATAACAAGTGTTTCACTTTTTTATCATTACAAGTTTTACACCAGTGGTATAAAGGTACTAAAAGCCCGGCTGTAATAAAAACACATGCACTGCCACTGATCCGCTAGGATAGCACAATATCTCAACGGCATCTAATCCTAGTTACCTTGCTTCCCCGCTGCAGTAGAGGTTCAGCCCACGAGCAGACATACTCGGCCGCAAGATACTCGTTCATTACGTGAAGTGGCTTTCTTAAATTCGGAGGCAGGACTGCGCATTCGAAAAACTCCTTCGACACGTTCATATCCGCCATGACGCCAGCGCAGAAACGCAAGAATTTGGGCGATTTTTCAAAATCCCAGTCAGTACAGATAAAGCGATAGAAATTTGTACCCAGCGCTCTCGCAGCGGTTGCTGAATTTCTAGAAAATAATTAGGGTACTAAACGACAAATTTTTGGAAAACGCTGCAGTGCAGTGATAATAATTTATCAAAATCGAACGTTGAGAGCCAACTTTAAAATGGCAGCACAATAACTATAGCGCAGTACGCATGTACAAATGTACATACATGGTCATACTCCGTATACCGAAGTTTATTTTGCTATTTCTTCAACGAAAATTTTAATAAGCGGTAAATTTAATTTGATATTTGAAGCGGCAGCAGAAACTGCTTACACGGTGAAATCCAAGTTTTTGCCCAGATGGTCAACAAGCCACAGAAACTCCAAGTCACATCCGTCCAAAAAGACAACTTTTCCGTTTGCTCGGTCGTGCAGCCAGTTGGGCAAAACGGCATTCAATGTGTCAAAATGAAACGTAACTGCAGTAGGGTAAGGCAGCCGACTTTTCTCCCCTTCTTGTGGCAGCAACATAAAAGCTGCGTTTAGGTTTTTGACGACTTCGGAAACCCAGCCAAGGGGCACGAGCTGTGTCGCCGCAACAAACGGGCCCCTGCAGCACGATTAAATCTGAGCCATGCACTATGTAAAACAACAACCAGTTGCAAAATTGATGTTTAAAGCTAACGGCACTGCAGAGTGCGTATGAGAAATTACATTCGGTAAATGTTTCTGAAAGGCGCGTTGAAAATCCAGACTTTAAAAACACTGGCTTTCAGTTTTTAGGATCTAGCCGGACATCTGCCAAACTGACCTTCTGTTTACACTAGCCTACGCATCTTTTGGAATTTCTAAGTTAAAAATCACAGATTTGCAGTAACCCCGCCTTTACGCACACCTTGTACATAAACTTAAGGGAAATGGCCCGGTGCATGGTGCCAGAAATGGGATACATACACTAAAACTTTCGCTTTCGAGCACTCCGAATCACTTTTTTGTCATACTTTATGTCATTCTAAAGCTAAATGATTTGTATACATTGTTCGGAAAACCGTGTGCCTTTTATAGTAAAGTTTCATAGCCATGTGCCTTTTATAGCAAAGTTTCAAAAAGATCGGGTAATAACCAGAGTTTTGGTACACAATAGTGCTTTTAAACTTTCCGCCCACTTTAGTACGCTATATCTCGGCAACCGGATGTTGCGCGCGCAAACGGTCTTCAGAACGATGTATACAAATCATTTAGCTTTAGAATGACATAAAGTATTTCAAAAAAGCCTTCCGGAGTGCGCGAAAGCGAATGTTTTAGTTTATGTATCCCATTTCTGGCACTATGTACCGGGCCATTTTCCTTAACTGGAAAGAAATACGCTAAAGTTTTAACCTGGCCGTCCCGTAGAGTACAACACAGAGCGACAGGCTTGGGTAATAGCTGCACATTTACTGCTTTCCAACTGGAATCGAAATAAATATAAAAATCTAAACCTAGTTACATACGGTCAAGCTTAGACCTACGCATTTACAGAACGAAGTTCGAACTGGCGCTCTCAGTAGCATTGCTAGCGGCAAAACGTTTAAATCGAGCGCCGAGGCAGTGCAAAAATGCCGCTCATTAGCGGTACTACTAAATTAAATATTTTGCGATACCACTAGAATGTTGAGAAAACGCTGGCGTCTACAGTATTTGTTAAAAACATGCGGAAATATATTACCTGCATCTCTAGAAGACAAAAGCAAATCACAATGCGGTACGATAAATATACCCGGAAAATAACGAAATTTGCTTAACCTTTGGCGTATTTATCTTTCAGGATTTACTGTACACCTTTCCCTTCTAGTTGCGCAGATCGCAGCCTCAAAACGCACCAGGGTGCATTATTTTTCACCGATTTGTGCGGTTAAAATTTTTAAAAGTTTGTTTGGCAAAAACGTAATTGCTTTTGTTAAAAATTGTAATAAAACAAAACAGTTTACGAATACATGAAATAGTTTTCTTCATCAGAAATCAGAATTAAAGCCGGTGTAAAGCAATCGGCTTCGCCGGGCGACGTGCTTGAATTATCCACTAGATTTAAAGTACGCAAAAATGCTTATTTTTAACATGCCCTACCAGCGGCACTTAGGACAGGTTGGGTTAGCACGGTCAGCTTCCGCAAGGGTATCGTTATTGCGAACGGAAGTAATCCACTGTTTCATGCAATCCATGTGAACGACGTTGCGACAACATACGGTGATATGAGCGATAGCGTCATCGCTTTCATAGCAGATGAAACACTGAATCCAACCTTTGGCGTTCTGAAGTGAAAAACGCCATGATGTAAAAAACGTACAGCTACAAAAAACGCATATTCCATCCACAGTGCGAGCTCACTCACAGCTAAGCAATCTTTTAGGGAATCTGGCATTATGCGCGGAAAACCGGAAACGGGAATGAAAACTTAAAAAATCACCAGATCAATCAGTAGTCAAAGAAAACGTTAAAAGGTAACCCTATAACAGAACTAGCGAAATTTAGAAATATTACGCAGAGCTGCTAGACATTACTGTGAGCTGTATGAACCAGGGCGGTTTGCATTTGTAAATGCGCTTGCTCTGCTCGACTTTACGTTGTCTGTTGGTGCATGTGGCTCCAAAAGAAAGATGGACGGCAAGAGAATGGGACAGTGGTAATGAGAGCAGGCTGCGCAGGCGCCCGATTTATCGCGGCAACCGGCTTTCTTAGGGTAAAAGGCCGCTTTGTTGCAAAGCGCTGCCGCTTCAATGAAAATTCACTCGGCAAATCAGAGACCTAGAAACAGGTTATATACGATTACGAAGAGAAAAATGAAAAAAGCCAGGAGGCGGATGGCCGAGCAAAACTTAGGACCAGGCTTCACTCTTCGGCTGTGATGCAGTTTCTAAATGCAGCTTCTGATGTCTGCTTGTTGCAGTACATATTTATATTTAGCTGCGTTTTGTAAGAATATACTGTATATGAATTATTTAAATTACCTAACTTACAGCTGTCGTTTTTTGGTTTTATCGGTTGGAGGGGTTTAGTAATACCGGACAGGATACTGGTCATCATTAATAACAGGTTTCGTTAATAACAGGTTTTATGTAACACTAACTTTTGGAGAGAAGTAAATTATGAAATTTCAATGTCACGCCACAGTTAGCAGCAAGACTGAACAACAATTAGATGACTGCGCGGTACTGCGCACGTATGCAATATTATTGTTTTGTGCTTCAGCGCAGTGTTCTTCCCAAAAACCTTGTACACTTTTTGCGGCAATCGCACTGTGCGATGGTTTATCCAGTTGTCGAGGACAAATACCTCAAAATTAAGGATATTTTAGGATAGGGTTTAAGGATAAGTACCTCAAAATCTTTAAATGCGTACGAATAAAATAGTTACAAAAAAGCTTATGCGAAACACAGCGGTTTACCAATAGAAAGTGCTAGGAAATCACATTTATTATTGTTGCAGCTAGAATTATTTCCCTTTGGAGTTTAAAGACTTGCATGAAACTGACTATAAAAGATTTATACCATTCCCGACCCAAGTCCATCTGATTCGTAGGGTTTGTTTCCCATACAAAAATTTACCGTTAATGGTTTTTATCTAACTTTATAATAGATAATAATTACCGCAACTAGGCAAACGGAAGTACAAACGAGAACAATGAGATACTTGAATCCGCTTAAAAATTAATGATAGTCACCAAAAGTATTCGTAATTATAAGTAGCGTTTTTCCACACATTTCACTGAAAGGGAAAACGAAAATGTGGCTCATGCAGAAGCTTGAGAATGAGAATTCTACTGCTAAGTGCATTGACAGTAACAGTCAACTCGGATTCAAAAAATTTCGAAAAGCCGGTAAAACTCAATGTGTAGGACATAAGGTAAATGAACGTTCGCATAAATATCAAACAAAATAACAAGCGCACTGACAGTACGCACATCCAAAGATAATGCGTAGTTGTCTACATAAATCCACGCTTTTTGGTTCCGGTTCTAGCTTTCTTCAAGGATCGATCCGGTGACTCAATCCTTCGCTTTTTAGCATCAACGGCGGAGACTTCAACGTTTGAACGCGGCATGCTGTTACCGCCAACGGCGTTTTCACAATGAATTTCAGTAACATTTTGCTGAGCTTCTATTTTCACAGATCCGTCCAATTTTACTACGTTACCAGGATACCTGAAACCGGTAGAGCTACTGTAAATAAAAGTCACCTGGCTTAAGATAAAAAACATAAAATCGCAGTAAACATATGCTGTCAATCCCATCTTACTGTTAAGTACATATAATTGAAATAATGCAACCGATTGTTACCTCGTCTTATCGGTGTCGTTGGTATATTCGATTTCATATGGCTCATCAAAAAATCGCCGGCAACCCGAAAACAGAATGCTGGTTTTAGACCGTCCGAACAAAGATTCCCAATAACTAACAGGTTTTGACAAGAGATCTGTTGTTGCGCTGTTTTCGTTGAGGCTGCCATGGATGCTATCTTGCTGATAAATTTTGCTATCAGTATGTTGAGGTAAACAGTAACGAAAGCATAAATGCATGTCATTTACGAATAACGTTTTCATTTTGCTGTTATTCCGTGCTTGACTCACGAGAATCTTCAAAATTTTTGCAAAATAAAAGTGACGAGTCACCCGCAGACGTATTTATAAAATAATTAATGCATTATGTCGCTCTCTGATAAAGCGCAAAGCAGTACAAGGGATGATTGTGAGATTCGGCACGCAAAGACTGCATGGAAAAGCTACAGAAGGGAAAAGCTACAGAAGGCGCTGGCAGTGTGAGAAGCGAGTGCACAACTGAGCAAGGGGCGTGCTAGTTTTGCGGCAATCAACTTTTGCAATGCTGTTGTTGCAAGCTTATAAGCGCCAACGACACAGGTACATGGAAGTAAGCGGCCTACAGTTTCAATGTGTAAGTATCAAGGCACTGACCAGCCTGCCTTCGAGTATGAAAT